TAAGAAGGTGTAAGAATAATTTTGCAATGTGTTGCAAATAAAAACAACCCAGTTTACAGGAGAAATGTTTCTCATTTAACTATGTAAACTTAAATCAGTGAAAAAGTGCAACCACCGTTTTGCAAATAAAATGATTTGGGATTGCAGCTTCTTTTTTTTTTTGCACAGCTTGAAGGCATTAGTTCCACTTCAGAAGCATCTCGGTTTTCCTCAGACCGAAGCCGTAAAGAATCAGTGTTGTCAGACTGAGCCAGAGCCACACCGTCAGCAGAATCTGACACAACTCACACAACCTCTCCTTTGGTAGATTTCCCACAATTAAATCTGTACAGTAATGCAGAAAACACCCCATAACTACATGATGCAACTCTGTGACAGAGATCTAAAAATGGAGTCCAGTCAGACAAACTTATTCGCTTGGTTTCCAGTGCAATCGAGGAGAAGAAAAAAAAGAATCAAATCACCAGCGCTGCTCCTGTGGAAAACTCCTAAAAATGTGCACTTATGGTAAAGTCATTATGACCAGGAACAGTAGGAAAAACACCAGTTCAAAGAAAATCTTTCCTCTGCAGTTTAATGTGGCCTCAGCTGAAACTGAGCCGCAGGAATGCAGCAGCAGATCGGTGATCAGTTAGTCTTTGAAAAAGTCTCTCGTCTAAAACCACTTTAATGAAACACTATCACATGGAAAAAAAGAAGAATGATTGAAGAACAGTAAGGGGGAAGTTGGAAAGCAGGGCCAACCATCATTAAAGACAAAACTTCCTTTTACACAAACAGAAATTCATCTAAAGTCAGACATCTGCAAGGAAATCTTTTCAGGTAGGTTAAGACGCTGATATAAAGCTCAGCCAGGGGGACATTCGATGTAAGCAGAAGAGGCAAGAGACGACTTCTTATTGAGAAGTAAACAAACCACAATGATAGAAACTATTTCCCCTGAAAAGGGAGGAAAAAAAATCCAGTTTCCATCCACAAAGGATGAAGTCAAAGCAGCACAAAAGAGAAGGCAGGAGTCAATGCATTTAGCACATGTGGCTGTTTAGAGCGAACCGAGCATTTTATTAGCAGACCACATGAAGCGGGCATATTTGCTAACTCAGGGGGTCTGGCCCCTCCTCCACTGCCTTCCACCATCCACTGCTGAGCAGCCCTGTTAAAGTCGTTAGAGGAGAGATATTACAACGCTGCTGCACCTATGACATCATCATGGGCTGCTGTTAGTCCAGTGGGACGGGGGCGCGCCGTGCCGGAGAGGAGGGGGAAGCCCCAACGTGAAGAAGCAGAGACACATCCGTCTGCACCAAACGTCACAGAGCAGATAGGAGCTCAGATCTGACTCAAGAAGCAAAGAGGTCCACCTGGGGACACAGCAGGGGTGTCCTGATATAAAACGGTAATTTCTGATGCGATACAGATGTTAGAGCTTTCTATATCAACCTATATTGACCCGATACAACACTAGCATGAATCATACCTACTTTAATCACTTATTTATGTGGAATGAAAGAAAAGGCTTGATTGAGTGATATTTCTAACTGTAGATTATATGAGCTTTTTAAAGTCACAGAGAAGCAGGTTGATATATTCCAATGTTCATCATTTTGAGGCTGATATTCTGATATCATCATCGGATTGGGACACCCCTTCTACACAGCAAACATTTAACAAGTGGAGCTAAACCTTTTGACCTGAATGACATTCCCAATGTGAAGAAGGCCACGAAAAATGACCAACCAAGGGCCAATTTATACTTCTAGTGCATAGCCTCTGCAACCGTCAAATCTGTCTCTGCGAGTGACCTTGCCCCCCTGTACAGAGGCTCTGCAACTGTCGTCGTGCAACTCAAAGAAATCCTGACTACACGTCAGACAGTTGCAAACCCGTGCAGACCTCAAGCGAAAGTGCACAGACAAAAAGCAGCTGTGATTGGTCCTCGGTATGCCTTTCCAGCTGTCTGTGCGGTCGTCCTTCTCGATTCGGTGCCGGGGCACGCCATTTTTAAAAACCGAGGAGTAATAACAACAATGGAAAACCATGACGAAAGGTTGATCAAGGAGGTTCGGAAGTAAAACCACTTGTGCGATGCATCAGACATGTTGTTTTGGAAAATAAACACTCACGCCGGCGCCTACGAAGAAGTTCTCGTGACCATCTGACAAAGTTCTCGCAAGATCTCGAATAGGCTTGCCCTAGCGCTTTGGCAGGAAACTGCTGCTAGTCCCTAGAAATTCCAGACCGACTTTGCAGAAGCATACCAGCAAAACTGGTTCGCAACCAGATGCAAGCGACATTTGATGTGTGCGGTTACAGAAGTATAATCTGCCCTTAAGGTGGCAGAGTGAGGAGGTTTTTTTATTTGATGGGATCGGAGTCGACGGCATGATGGAAGCACCAAAATAAAAGACAATCCTGGAAGAAAACCTGTTGGTCGTCAAATGAACGTAATAATGGATGAGAGGTTCACCTTCAAGCAGAACTAAACCCTCAGAAGTACAGCCACAGCTTAGGCCAAAGCCCGTCCATGTGTTGGAATGTCCTAGTCAAATCCTTTTTCCTAATATGAGAATCTATAGCGAGACTTTTTTTCCCCGTCTGAAACTAAATAACTGAAACAAGGCCTTGCAAAGTAGCCAGAACATCCCTCTATACTCGAGGCTTTTGATGTACGTTTATCATCAAACAGTAGGCAACAGGGCAGGGAGGGGGGCATTTTGGCTGATAAGCTCTAAAACATACAGCCATGTTTCTTTTTCCCACAAACTAAAGGAAATCTGGAGCTATTACTGGGTAGATTGGGGCGGGGTTCAGCAGGGTGAAAAACTTTTCCCACTCACAGCTCACAACTCGAAATGTTGAGTCTACTGCTCACGCGTAGAAATCATCAGCCTCTTTGCACGGCTGAACGTAATAACAGGGATTTTTTTCCCTGCGTTGCAGAGCAGTCAGACGGCTACATGGCTGCTCTGATTCACTTTGGATGAATGTGGATGGAACTACTTCTCTCAGAAAAATGTACTTGATAGAATAGTTGATTCATTAAAGTATCTCACTGTAAATTCCCCTCCTCGTAGGAGTAATCTGCATGTGAAGCACATGACCTAAGATGTTGTAATAGTGAAGTACAGTGCAGTCTATAATTATCTCATAGCTGAGACTCTGCAGCTGAATTCTTGCTGCAGAGAGTTTGATTTCTTGGATGCTAGAAGTCAGGGCTTCCATCCGAATAAGCACTAACCTGATTTATGCATCAAGCTTTTTTTTCTTTTTCTTTTTGGAGCCTGACGTTCTATTAAACCTTAGAAATATCTGAAAGTGGCGGCCGGGGCGTGGCCAGGATGAATGAGGAGCCTGAAATGAGCAGTCAAGACAAATTGCCACGTTACATGATAAATAAACACACAGCGGGTGTTGTCTCGGCATCAGAAGACACATGAACTTTTTTTTTCCTTTTACTGTCTGAGATCAGGGGGAAAAAAATCCTTAAATACAGGTCGATCATATGTCTCAAAATAACATGGATCCTTAAAGTGACATTTTTTTGTAAGGGAGGAAAATGCATCGAATCACTGAAGCTCCTTGGAAAATAAAACAAAGACACGTGTCACAAGTTAGTGAGACAGGGGCGATTTATTGAAATCACTAAATAAAACTCATAGTTTCATTATGATTTCTTATGAGCTTCCAGGCAGAGGATTATGTCTGAAAGCTGGCCAGCTTTAACTGTATACAGCTGTAAGTGTTTTGACATCAACGCCCAAATAAATGACTGTAACCAACACCAGTTCTGTTCCAACTTTACCATAACAAGGGTTTAGAAACTATAACTGCACCACCAGCACCAAGTCAAATTCCTTGGAACTTGGCAATAAACTTGATTCTGATTCTGAAAATGAAATAAAGATTTTAACATCAAGATGCACTGCAAAAACGATCTAGAAACAATAAAAAAAAATCTTAAATTGAGTGCATTTACCCTTAATTTGAGTTAAATAAGACGATTTGCCAAGGGAGTGAGGATTTTTACTCTTAAAATAAGATAATTTATTCTTATTTTAAATGTAAATTGTCTTTTTCCATTGGCAAAGTGTCTCACTTGCCTCCTCGATTCAAGACAAAATGCCCTTATTTGAAGAAAAAATGACTTAGATTAAAATTTTTTGCAGGGTGCGTTTTCATTTCCTTCAAAATCCAAGTTTCAATGCTTTGAGGTGAAAAAAAAAACTGCTTAAGTCCAAAATAAATGCAAAACCCCAAACCTTGAAAGTTGCAAGTGCAACTCTTGCAGCATATATTAGTGAGACGGAAATGTATATTGGTTATAAACAGTCAAAGCTTGAGATCTACGACTCTTTTTCTACATAAATCACAAAGATCTGTGCTTAACATGGCACTCTCAGTCTGTCATCCTGTGTTTTACTGTGTTGAAAGGTGAAAGAAGTGGCTTTTGTGTGTCTGTGTGAGTGTGGGGGGGCGTGTTTGTGTGTGTTCATTATAAGAAAGCACTCAGGAGGCAGCAGCAGAGAGAAGGAGGAAAAAACTGGGGAGGGGACCAAGTGGTGGGGTGTGGGAGTTTGGGGGGAATTCAGAAAATGTTGCTTTCAAATAAGATTCACCAAGAAAACCAAAGCAAACCCATTGATGTGCTATATCAGCTGCAGGACATACATATATAAATATATATAAACCCTGATATGCTTCTCAGGAGGCTGATTTTACCATTTCAGCCTTTCTGACTTTTGGGGGAGACAAAAGGACCCACTGGAAAGAAGAAAAAGGAGGGGGGGGCGGGGGCAGCAGCACAAGTCTGTTCATTTAATGATGGATCATAAAGACACTTTTGCATTAAAACAAACAATGCTTTAAATCAGCAATGAATAACTTTCAGTTTGGATCGCTCAGTCTGTGAGGAAGAGTTCAACAGATGCGGTCAGAAATGTTTAGAAAAGAAGATTTAGGCTGGATTTGTTTTTTGTTTTTGTTTGTTTTTTCTGACTTACCAAAACAATGGCAAACTTCTCCTCCAGCTCGGTGGGGTCAGGCATGGGCACCTTCAGAGGCATGATATGATGCTTCATCTCCGACTGCCCGTCAGCACTCTCCACATTTCCCATTTTTAACCTCCACAGACGTTTTACTCTCCTGTCAACCTGAAACGTCCAAACTTCTTTGTTTTTTTTTTTATCTTTCTGTTGGTAATAATCCACAGCGAGGCTAAATATTACTCCAGCAGTTGTTCCACATAATCCGCTTTTTTGGACATTAAAAAAGTGCCATTTATCGTGTATCAAGCTGTTTTTTTTAATCAATACTTGAAACAAAAAATCATCTTTCTTTTCCAAAATAAAATAAAAGATCCAACCGGCCAATCCATAACTCCTTCCTCCGAACGATAGCTAAATTTCTTCCGTACTAACCGACAATAAGTTTTTTCAAGCTGCTCAACTTTTCTTGGCTACGCTGCGTTTCCATTCATTATTGTTGTGTGATCCTGATTAAGCTGTTTGCCGTCGCATCCACTCAAAGGGTCGGGTTTCTTATTAAGCCCCGCCTTAATTGTGTTCCTATTGGCTTAAGAGGTGTCAATCATTCGGCGTTTTCGTCTCCGCCCTTCACATCTGTATGCTGAGCCGCTAAACGTGCAGCTGGATGTAAAAAAAAAAATTAGGGTTTGACAACAATTTGCTGCCATCTCGTGGCAGGAGCATGATACGACAACAAAACCAAAGATGAATTTTATCTAAAGTTGTTTTTATTTCTTCCATTAAACAGAGGTGGGTAGTAACTAGTTACATTTACTTGAGTAACTTTTGGAAAAAAATGTACTTTTAGGAGCAGTACTCACCAAAGCTTGTACTTTTACTTAATGTAAAAAATGTATCACTGCTCTTGAGTAAAATTTCTGGTTACTCTACAAGCTACAAGTAACTTGAGCTATTTTCAGATCAGGTAAGAATAAAGTAGATGGTAGATATTTTAGCTATACACTCTTCATCTTTCGTTACATTTATGCATTACCTAGTGTAGATTTTTTTAAAATGTTTTTATTATTTTGTGTTGGTGTGTATACTGTTATAACTATGCTCTTGGTGCCCTCTTTACCAGGTCACTGATGAGAGAAGATTTTTGATAGCAAAATGAATTGTTCTTTTTTGTATGTTCTTTTTTTATTGGTTTAAATAAAGGAAATAATAATAAAAAAAGGGTGCTGTTAGCTTCTCCTAAAGAAATATTTGAAAAACGGTGAAAAACGGTCTTTTGCTCAGATGTGTTATTTTTTTCATCATGTTAGATATATTTTTAACATTTTATTTTATACTTTAAAATATTTTTTAAAAACTGCACATAAATGTATTGTCTTATTACATCATACCTGAATTTAAATCAGATGTAAATAGGCAATAGAAACTCAACATTTGAGTAGCCATTTAGTGAAGTAGTTTTTTACTCTTGAATAATACTTCTGGATTACATCCGGGATGACTTTTACTTGAGTATGAAGGACCTAGAGGGTCACTGAGAAATAAATCAGCCATTTCAAATTTGAAAAGTATTTTCAATGCTTTTTCAACCTGGGAATCATTCTTGAAATTTTTTTACTTTACCTGTTCCATTTACTTTTTCCCTGACTCTTCTGGTCCTAGAACACCATGAAAAGCAGTTAAACTCTCTCTTTGGTAAGACTGCTTCACTTTGTTAGAATGACCAATGAGGGAGCTGGTTACATCTGAGGAGCAACTGTGAACAGTTTAACTGATTCTATAAGGGATTAATAAATACATTTTACCATTCCTCTTTAATAATTTGATTTAAAATGTGGAATTAGAACATGATTTTTAAAATGGCTTTAAATGTTACATTTTAAATGGCTGGTTTTCTTTTTCAGTGACTCTCTAGGTTCTCCATTAAAGCAGCGCAACTCATACTCAAGTAAATGCTTTGGATACCCTACCCACCCCTGCAATTAAACAAATTTTTAGCTTCCTTGATACCCAGAAACGATATTGTTTTCCAAAATCACCAATTAGAAAATATCCTCCAACTTGTTATAACTAATTTTCACAAAAAACAAACCAAATAAACCACCATTGTGATTTCAGCACAGTAAAAATGTATGTAAACACTAAATAGTACACAGTTCTTAACTGGATGGAAGGAATTTTTTTCCCCTTTTTTTTTGAGGTTTCCTCTAAGGATCTTTACTCACATTCTTAATGTCTTAATCTTAATTGCATAATGAGGCAGTTTCACAGCAAAATGTCATCATTACAGTACTTTTGATTGTCTTGATTACTTATTTTTTCATTTTTTGAACACCTTTATGGAACATACTGAGTATTCTGAGTTTAAAAAAAACAGAATTGGGACAATTGGTTTGATTTATGAGTGCAAACTTTATTCAACAAATTTAGCAGATGCACAATGATATGTACCAAGTATGCTAAAGCACAATCCCAAAGTTCAAAGGCAGTACGATAATCCTCTGTCAAACTCCATGAATTAACTCTTTATGTCCCTTACTTGAGCAGCTTAAAAAAAACAGACATCACTGAAAGCAAGAGCACAATAAACACTTAAGCACACAGAGAAGCGTTGATTGATGTAACACCAGCACTGTATAAAGGGTGGTCTAAAAGCACAGTGATTTAGACTCAGCTTACAGTATCACGTCTCTGTTTTGGAGGACCTAAAGGTTTGTAATACTCTGATTTAGAAAAAGTAACATTAAGAACATATAAAACTTCATCTTGAACACATAAACATTGACAAATTGTGCACAGCTTTGTAATACTTAAGGCAATAATATAATCATATATAAATAAAATAATATTTGGAATTTCTTTAAGACTAAAATATAGCATTTAACAAAATCTCTCAGGTGAGTTGTACTGTAGGTTGTAAATCGTTAAAACACAGTTTTTTCCCTAAAGTATAAGGCCTTTAAAAAAAAAGAAAAAATAGAAAGGACTTGTGCATGTCTTCCATCACATATATCACAGGAGTATCGTGCAACATGGTTGCATTATTATCAGATGTCTAACTCTAGAAGAGAGTTGTCCATGTAGAAGAGACCAACAATTCAAGGCTATGGGATTCATGAGCTACGTGTCTTTTTCTTCCTAGAAATACTGCTGGATTGTGTTTCCGTGAGGCACAAATTACTTTATTTTGTTTCAGTGATGGTGGAATATTTCATCTAAGCTGAATTACAAAAGCATGAAATCACAGATAACAGAAGCGACACAAGGCTTATGTTCAATGGTACTGGATATGGGATTCTTCTAGTTGCTTTCTGCAACTAGATCATACCTAAAAAAATAAAATATAAGAGAAAATGTGAGTTTAAATGCCGAACGAAGAAATACAACTTATCCAACAAGGATTCTAAATTTAAATAACTTGGACGTTGTATAAATTAATGTGAATAATTAATTATCATTAAGTGATGATTGAAATATTTTGTTTATTAGCTTAAAATTTTCTGAATCTTTACCATTGTGTGACGCCAGCCTTGAGGTCGATTTGGTCCAGATCAAGCTGCAACTGAGTAAAATGAAAGGAAGCAAAAATAATGGTGTTATAATCGCCATAGTACAGCAAAAACAACTAATTAACTACAGCTGCTCAAAAATTACCTTGCCAATCACCTCCTTCTCTCGGCTCATGAAGGAGCTGCTGTGCTTCACGGACAAATCCAGTCTTTTCTGCATGGACTCCTCCAGAGTAAAATCAAAGTCAAACCTGTAGGTGGATAGAAAAATATGAGAGAAGCAACTTCTAACTCTACTAGTTATTTTTTCTTTATTTAAATGACCTCTCATTGAACTCTGGGTTGAGGTCTCTCTTCTTGGTGGTGGTTCTTCTTTTGGTTGTGGCCTTCTTGTCGGGCAGCAGGACAAAAGAAACATATGGGTCAGCGCCATCCTTGGAGCAGGCTGCCAGGGCTCTGCACATGTAAAGAGATCCCATTGCTTTATGCAACCAAATGTTCTAATGGAAAATATGATAAAAAGGTGATCAATCAATATAAAAACCTGCAGGAGTGAATGATGATGAAAAGCCTGCTTTCTTCTGCAGAGTAGCCGATGGTAAGCTTTACTTGTCCAGCTGAGTTTGCATTCTCAGCGACGCTAAGAAAAGAAGATTTCTGCTTTTAAAAACACATTCTCCCTGTTACCAAAGGAAGCTAAGCCAAGGACCGACTTTGGAATAAATAAGAAGGAAAAAAACCGTTTGACTTACATGGAAAATCCAGTTCTGTGCTTCAGATCGAGATGCAGAGGATCCCATTTGGGAATGACCTGTTCTACGCTACCATCCCCACCTGCGCTGGGACACACGGCTAACTGACTGTCCAATATCTGTGAAAGAAAAAAATTATTAATTCAAGCTTCAAATTTTTTTCATTTCATTTAAATTAAACCAAGTTATAGACAATGTCAACCAAAAGTACTTTACACTGCAATTGATCCAGTTTGCATTAATCTAAACGGAATCCAATTCTTTCCAACTTATCCATTTGCAAATACAGCCTAGGTTGATCCCTCAATTCTGACTGGTAAATAGTAAGCAAAACATAAAAGCAACACTTGGCAGCTCAGTGAGTCACCATGAGAGGAATGTTTCTTCTTGACAGCAGTTCTTCAACAGTTCAACACACAGAAACACAGCTACATAATTCGACAAACTACACCATGTTCCAACTCATGCATGCAGTTTTACATATTTGGGTGACTTCCCATTCTTAATCTATAGCAGGCACTGTTCTTCTGAAAACTGCCCAACCCAGACCCATCATTAGGAGGAACCAACCTCCTAACTGCTCTACATTATTATAAAATCACATTTTTATTGCTCAAACAGCATCCCATTACCAGGTGCTAAAATCTAACCTGTAGCCATGGAAGTAATCAGAGCATCTGATTTAAGTAATTTTGAGATGTGACCTAATTCTTTTGACAATCTACTGCATTTGTTAGGACATAAGTTGGAAGAAATTGGTTGGGAGGAAAAAAATAATCAGTCTGTAGCAAACAGTTATGAGGTACATATCCACAATACAGTTCATTGCACTGGGCAATTAACTGTTAGACTGTTATTGTAGAAATACTAAACTACTGGTGCTTCAGCTAGAAGGAGCTAACCATGGCATATACAGTGAATACAGTGAGTATTTACCGCAGTTCTTGGATAACTGCAGCTGAGTGTAAACTGTGGGTGAAAACAGAATTCAGTCATTTCTAACTATTATGGACCAGAGTTTTTCTGGACCTTCTTAAGAAGAGCTTTCTGTTGCATTTTTAAGAGTTATTTAAATCATAAAAAAAAAAAAAAAAAAAAATCTCAGATTTATCCAATATGTAAAGTAATTTTTTAGTATCTCCATATTTTGATTCCATTATTACCTGATATTCATTTTGGTCAATCGATATTCATTTCCCAGTGATTTCCTCTAGATGGATCTATTACCCTTAGAGCAATATGGAAGCCTCTACATTTTTCAAGTTTTTATTTAAATGGAAACACCGGTTTTTTTTACATTGGCCCCTTGATTATAGGTTATTAGATCATGTTCTACTCCCCATATTAGTTTTGTGTATTTTGGAGCTGTTCTGAAGATATTCTGTTTTGTTATATCAAAGTAACGTCTTCCTATGGGCAATAGGTTGAAGGCACAAACTAAACTGTTCATAATTTATTCTTTATGGTACGCCAGCATTCATAACATGTAGGCGAATCACTGTCCCCCAGACATCCGCGGTCATATTTTTTATATTTCTATTTTTTTTAAAACAAAGCGTTGCGTGTATGACATCATCCGCACGCCAGACTAGAGTTGTGACAGGCAGCCCGGGCCACAGGCGGCTACGCTCTACCCCTTCATTCGGCGAGCTAATCTGAATCGTTCAATTCCATTGTAAAACTAGAAGCAGTTCAGAGGACAGGAAGAATGAACGGTAGCCGGCGCACGTGGATGACATCATACATGCGCCGCTTCATTTAAAAAATATATAGATATAAAAAATTTAACCGCGGATGTCTGGGGGACAGTAATTCGCCTACATGTTATGAATGCTGGCATACCATAAATGATAAATTATGAACCTTTTAGTTTGTGCCTTCAACTCCTTGCCAATAGTAAGACGTTACTTGAATTACAAAACCGAATATCTTCGGACCAGCTCCAAATGACACAAAACTAATATGGGTGAGCAGAACATGATGTAAGGACGTTAAATCAAGGGACCAATGTAAAAAAAAAAACAGTCTTCCCCTTTAATGAGAACCAGATTATTTAATGTTGTTTAAGCATCAGAGCAGTAAAGGAAAAAAGCTTCTGTGGTACCTTGAGATTGACTCTAAGCAGTATCTGACTCTCTGGCAGCGCTCCATCCAGACTGAACCACTGGTCCCGCACTAAGCCGGGCTCAGTCAACACCTCTTTCAGATGGACGGTCAGGGACCCCAGGCTCTGACCCCAGCTGTGAGAAAGCTTGAAAATAAAGGAACTAAAATTATTCAAACTTTGATTACATATTTTTGAAACATTGCATCAATAACTAAAGGAACAATCTGCCTGACATTGTTTAGTTCATTTTATAGTTATCTCTCACCTTTACTGTGAGGGTTTCATCTCTGGGGTCACGAACCAAAAAATGAAATGCCTCATCCCATCGAGGAGATGTGGATCGCTCACAAATCTTTGAGGAGAACCAAAAAACATTTTCACATCATTCCTCCTTGTTTTCTTGGTCATACATGCTCAAAGTAAAGGTTATCCTACCTTGGTTTTGTGTGAAACATTCTTAAGCGTAACCTCTACTCCAGCTTTCGGCTCTTTTCCATTCTTCTTAAGCTAAAAACCCACAAAAAGTATTAGGTATTATAGAAACTTGCAGCAGAATCTCAGATGTTTTGGCTGCTTTTTAAAGAAGAGCTAAACCCTCCAAAGACTCCAGGCTCACCGACAGGCCGTGGGCACGCTCCACATACACAAACAACACGGCTGCTGATGGCACAACCTTGTTTTGGTACGACTGTTGGGACTGATACTGTAATACCTGCAAGAAACAGGAAAGGGATGTAAATGTGCAACGGAACATATGTGGTTAAAGTTCGCTTTGAACTAAGTATAAATAGGGACATAAACACAGCAGCTAATGTGAAGTGCCTGAAAAAGAGAAGCTTGCTCTTTACTTCTGTTTATATCCTCTAAAGGATGATCTTTTGAAAGCATCATAACACTTCCTGCTGATGTTTTCTATACCATGGAAACCAAATTAACAAGCAAAGCATCGTGCCTTTTTGTATCTTTTGAAAATGAGACAGTAAGTGTCTTACCTGATCCAGTCTTTGTAGGTCAGTCACTCTGGAAAGCCACTCCATCACCAGGTGAACACGACCTGATTTCACATCATTTAGAGTGTACCACTAGAAGAAGAGAGGCACCAAAATGAGATTAACTTCCAATTTTTTCTATTTATTTCGTGAAATAAAAATTCTTTCGGGATGCTCTGTGATAGACCAACAAAAGCAGCGTGCATTTAGAACAAAAATCTCCCATTCTTTTCTGTAAAAAGGACTGAGCTCAGTCAAAATGCACAAAGATGGTCTGTAAGGATCCATTTTCCAGTCTTTCGACAGAATCTCAACTGGATTAAGATCTGGGTTTTAAATGGACCATTCTAACATATTACTTTAACCCAATCTATAGTGGAGTGCTGAGCTACAGCAGGACATTCACGTCCTTGAAAAGATGCAAGATCCCGATAATACTGAAGTGATGTCAGTCTGGGTTCATGTGTAAAAAAACACTTAACATTCTCCCTCAGAGCTAAAAGCTACTCCTTAGGAATGGCTTAAATTTAAAAAGACTAGGTTTGTTCTAATGTATGATGACGATGTCAAATAAAACTGATTGGTTATTATGATGCTGTTCTACTAAAAGGTGAACCTCTAAAGCGGTCAGAGGTCTGTTGGAGCATCTAACAAATCTCCTTGTTAGACCCTCACTTGTAGTCACCTAAACTTATTGAACCTTAAATTATGAGGAGCTTCTGAGCCCCTGTTGATTCCCACATCACAATGCTACCACCACCATGTTTCATTGAGGAAAAGCTCCGCAAATATTGCTGTTAAAAGAGCACATACTCGTCTTTAGAATAGACAATGACATAAAGATGTGTGATTCATATCATTAATTTGCACACAGCAACAGTATTAAGTTATTAAAATAAAAGTACTGATATTTAATAATGGGCCCATGGAGCCAATGGTGAAGAAAATAGTCAAAATGTAGATTCATACAATATAGCCACCAATTAGAATTTAGAGTTGCCACTATAAATTGAAATTCTTATCACAATTAGTTTTTTTCCCGACAACAATTAACCACATGATAAATGCCCACCTCTGGTTCAGCGGGATGCTTGGTGTAAGTTTATTTAAATAAGCTGGAAACCATGAATTTCCCTGTGATGGACAGACAATCTTTCCAGGAAGTACTATACCACTCATCTAATGATCACAGGAGGCAGCAGATCCCCACCACTGCATCTGTGGTATGTGTTTTGCTTTTCAAGGCTTATCATTTGAGGAGAATTGCCATGTCTCGGGAGGTTTATAGCTGTGCTATACTGTTGGGATGAAAGACTGAAAATGTTCTCTGAGTCATGATCTTGGCATTGATGACTGGCTTAATGGTTCATTCCATTCACCTGTCTAGCTCCACCCAGTTTCTCATCACTGTTCAGCTGTGTCACCTCCTCTAGTCTCTATTGCTTGCTCCCAGTCATCAGTGCCAGATTATTCGAGTCTTCGGTGAGAGTTCTTTAGCGTATCTGTTTGTGTTCTGATTGCCTCATTCTGATCCATTTTGTCTTCGGACCTTTGAGCCTGCCTGTTCCTTCAATGGATTTGTTTGCTTGACCTGTCTCTGGACTCCTGCTGGTTTCTGCCTGTGGACTGAACCTGGTTCTGCCTCCTGACTTCGTCTTGGATTTCCCCTCGGTACCTGTTTGGGTCTCTGATCTTCTGGCCTGGATTTCTGTTAACCTCTTCAACACTGGCTTTTGTTTCGTGTTCGGAAAGTCCTGCCTTCCTCTGCTTGGATCTGCTCATCAGCCAGTTCAACAGTCTTCAAGGCTGCTCGTGGAACTCCCTGGGCGATGTTTGCCGCATGCTGTTGGCAGCCATCCGGGTGGATTCCACTCTTTCTTCTGGGCTAAGATTGAACTCTAAAACTAGTCTAGTCACTCACATGCCCGTGATCGCCTCAGTCAGATTTATGTGGTCACTAACCTGCGTTTTCCCCTCTACAGAGATTCCGTCCTTTGATGCACTAGCCGCTGAATTGCTGAGTCCACAAATAACAATAAACACTTTTGTGAATCCCACCTATCTGTCTGCTTCAAATTCTGGGTCCTCTGTTCTGAGTCTTGACACTGTTAGATTTTCAAAGGTTGTTATAATACTTTTGATTGATTTTCTGACTCCTCTTGAAACTTCTCAGTAGCTTAACCCTGACCTGTGCTAAGTTTGTTCAAACTTAATTTTACTTTAAAAAAAAACCTTTCAAGGTTTCTTGGAGAACATTAACTGTGAGCACATAAATTGGTTACTTCTGGATACTAGTATCCAGGTATCACATTAAAAAAGGCCATACAGTTTCTTTGTTGTTTTATTTCTGGTTAAAAATCGTTTTTTATTTTCCTCTACTTTTAAATTACGTGCAACTTTGTGTTGGTCTATCAGCCGAAACTCTAATAAATAATTAATTAGACTTTTGTGTAAAAGGTTCTTGTGAGTACTTGTCAATATAAATACTTATGTGGGCTAAATATGTCAGGTTAAGTTCACACACCGTGTCAACAAACTGGGCGCTGATGATGTCTCTTAGGTTAAGTTTAAACCTGCAAACAAGGGATCCAATCAAAACATTATTATCCATTTCAGAATGACTTAAAACATCAAAGCGAACCAGATGGGTCTACCTTCCAAGGAAGTCATCCTGATCAATGTCCTTATCAAACAGCTCAAATTGGATTTCCTGACCTGGAAGTTGGGTCAAAATCACCTAAACGCACAAAAATACAACATAGAACATTATGATGTTATGGAATTTATAACGTAAATGATTTTTAAAGCAAAACAAATCAAAAAACCTCATAAAGTTCATTCCAGACAGGATTGAGGTTCTCCTTGATGGTGTGGCTGCGGAATGTTATACCAGCAACGCGGATTTTGACGTAAGGGTCACTCTTGCCTTTCACCATGCCCCCCATGAAGTTGTCCTTGGCTATCAGGTTTTGGGCCTCCACCAGATGGATTCGTAACACTCCCTGCATACATCAGATGGACCACAGACACCGTTACCTCGGTCTGGTTAAGCTTTAAATGTCTGCAGAAAAAACGTATCTTCTTACCTCAGTTGCAAACTCTGGGTCAGGGGTGGTGTTCTGTGGTCGGGATGGCTGAGGTTTAGTTAGCCCGCCGGGCCCTGTAGAGTTCTGGTTTGAACTGGTTTCTTCCTGCCCCAATCCTGATCCTGATCCTGAAGAGGGTGGAGATGGAGTTGTTGGAGAGGCCTCATCGCTTAGCCACAAAATCTATTAGGAAACAGAAAACAGCATTTTATTTCAGCCGCTAAAAACACTGCTGGTGAAATAAACATTTTCAAGTCTCTTTTATGGGGGCTTCCAGTTAAAAATTTTTATGTGTGCTTTTAAATACATTGATATAAGCGGGGGAAAAAAGTCTTTGCATAAAATACTAACCCTCAGCACAATTTTGGCATAAAGGCGACTGGCTGAGCCTGATTTCTCCAGCTGGAACCACTGGTCCAAGGTGAGTTCATGGCTCTCCAGAATACGGCTCAGAGGAATAGTCAAGCTGCCTAATGTAGAGGAGCGGTCATCATCCTTCACCTGATTGAAAACATCCCCAGAATATGATTTATCAGAGCTTAATAGAACCAAGTGCAGTTAATAGACCAGAGGAGACAAGAAGGAGACTACACATCTCTAAAATTGACTTACGGTACCTGAATTTCAATATCTTGTTTGCGAGGATCTTGAATGAAGAAAGTGAAAGCGTCCTCCCAAACAGGGCTGTTAGTGCCGTAACAGATCTGCCGACCCATAAAGGAAAAATTCAGACCCAAAATTTGCCTCCATGAAACAAAAATAGTAAAAATGCATTGCAAAGTATTCAAGTCGCATTATGTTTTCCACGTTTAGTCACATTAAAAGGAACAATTAATATTTTTTTTTCAAGATTTTATTTAAAAGATCAACACAAAGTGGCTAGTCGTGTCATCAAATAAAACAAATTCATGTTTTAGTTTTACAAGTACAACCTCGCTGAGGTAATAACTCACCAGCTGTTAAGGATGTTATTGTAACGGCTTTACTTCTGCCTATTCTTCATTGCAACATAGCAAAAACTTAGGTCGCATGTTGAAAATGTTTTGAAAGCTCTTGAATTATTTTAGACTTTGACTGGGTCATTTTAATACATGAGGTTGCTTTGATCTAATTCCCTGCATTGCAGCTCTGGTTGTTATTTCACGTAGTTGTCCTGCTGGAAGGTGCACCACTACAGCATTGTTCTCTTATTTAGCTCCCACACTCTTCTTATCAACTCTAGAAGATAACCTGTCACTATTAAAGAAAAATGTGCCCACAGCATGATGCTGCCACCACCGCTTTTTTTCCCGTATTATGTGCAATGATGAATAATTGACCTTTCACTTCACAGTTATACACCAGGTTCTGTTGATTTATCCCTTCCAACAAGATACATTGATGCTTGTGACTAGGGAGTAATTAGGGAGACAAATCGCTTACAAAAGAATTTGATCTTAGATTATGTAGATCAGTTTAAATAGGTTAATCTCAACTGAGAAGTTTAAAAAAAAAGAAATCGGCCACAATGAAATTATATATGTCATAATCAGGTGTCACCCTGTGGTTTTAATTTGTTTTCATGTTTTCACCACTTCCTTGTTTTTTAATTGATCTCAGTTCTAGTCTTCTCCATCATATGATACATATTTCCTCAAAGGTTAATCTGTCTTATGATTAGTCTTTTGATTTATCTAATTTGCTCTGTTTTTATAGAATTATTCGTGCTCTTATGGGTTTTATAGTTGTTTTTTGTTTCCCATCTCTGTGTCTTCTGTGTAGTCTCTCTGCTTCCCCATTTATTCACTCGTCTCCCTCAGCTATCGCTCCCATCACCGCTGTCAGCTCTTCCTCCTTTCTGGTCACTTCCACCTGTTGCCTTGCCTTTCTCCACTCTTCCCCCTTTATTTTAGTTGTTTTTTCTAGTTGTTTAGCTGGTTGTCTGGTTGCTCTTTGCTGGTTTTTCCTTTAACTAAGCTGACTCCATTCTAACTCTAACTTACATTTCTGGTACCTATTATCAAGTATTCTTTATCTCTCAACCCCTGATTTAGTTTCCTTTTGGGCCCTGAAACTGTATATCTATCCAGTCATCTATGCAGACCAAACATTCACATATAGGAGTTTACCAACACACCTTATAGACATCCCCACAGCTTGATGATGCCACAGCCATGTTTCTATGAAGGAATTGATATTGTACGATTTTGCCCTTTTTGGACTTATTTGATCAGACCTCCATCTTCCTTATTCTTCCTGTTTTGTCCAGATGTTTTAAAGAAAACTGTAAACAGGATGTCTTATGACCTTCTCTAACAAAGGCTTTTTACATCCTACCCTTTAACAAGGGTCGGATTTCAGGAGTATTCTTTATGAACTCCTCTAGAGTGATCACAGGTCACCAGCTTCTTCTCTGGATAATGCTCTCTTTGTGTGTCTGGTCAGTTTCAGTGACCATGCATCGTTTTTTGTTTTTTTGCACTTGTGCTTTACTCTCAGTTTTACTTGAAGAGTAACAAAACCTCAGGGAGATTTTATGAGCTGGAGAAATTATTTTATAATAAAACCCAGGTTTAAGGGTTCCACAACTTCCTGACCTGTCTTCTGTGTTCCTTGGTGTTCATGATGCTGTTTGTCAATTTCCCCTCTCTATTAAACCTCTGAGATCTTTCCCAAATAGTTTGATTTATGCATAAATTAATTTACACAAAGCTGGATTCTGTTGAGGGGAGGTGTCTGAAAGTAACTGCTTGCACTGGGTTTTATTTAGGGGTATCAGATTTGACAGGCGCCTGTATACAAGTGCACACCTTAGTTTTCATACATTTATATAGAAAGAAAAAGTTTTCTTCTCTTTCAAAATTAATACTATTCATTTATTCTATATAAAACCTCAATAAAATGCTGAAGCATGTCGTGACAAAGTATAAAAAAGCCAAAAACAGGACAAAATCATTTGCAAGGGACTGAGAATTTTAAAACTTCACCTTGCTTTCTTTAGTAGCATCCTGAACTGTAATCTGCACCATTGGGCTTGGATCCTTGTTTCCTTTCCTAAGCTGTAAAGTTGGGAATGCATCAGATTTGGTGAAATGACAGAGATTCAGTTTACATAAAAATGAAGGAAGTAGAGATAGAGAATTCTCACAGGCAGCGCATAGGCTTGGTCAAGATAGAAGGCGAGGATGGCTGCAGATGGGGGATCCGCTGACTTGGCTGTCAAGTTCTGATTTTTTTGAACCACCTTGGGGGTGGGGGTGGGGGGGAAAACAGTTACATTTTAGACTATTATGAACTCATTTTCCTAAAGATTAAATATACAGTAATGCATGAATCCTCACCTCACTTAGTCTGTCAGCAGAGGACAGCAGAGAGAGCCACTCCAGCCGCAAGTGGATGCTGCCGGAAGAGACGTCTCTCAGATTAAACCACTGAAAACAAGAGTCAGAAGGCTCATTAAAAACAAGTTGCTCTCAGGAGGCTTTTTATATCCTCTAAAAAGCCTAAAGGTGGTGAGATCACAAGGAAGCACATGGTGTCTCTGCTGTCACATGATAACAGGATTACTGCAGTGTGACTCGAGATATTTTTTTAAGAGTAAGATAATGCATTAACTGTCTACTATGGGTCTGAATTATTCCTTATAGTAGAAAAGCTTACATCATCCACAATCCTGGCCTTTTTCACGATATCCAGATCGATCTTGGCCCTAAGACAAAGCCAAAAACAAAAATATAACAGAAATATGGCAGAATACAAATTTAAAATATACATATATATATATATATTTTTTTTTTAGCAAAAGCATGGTCTTGTTTAGTAAAAGCAGTAATGGAAATGATATGAGAGGCATAAAGGAAAACAAACTAAAGAGAAAATGAGTGAGAATGAGTGAGCTACCTCCCCAGGAAGTCATCCTGGTCTGGGTCTTTGTCAAACACTTCCACTTCCAACTCCTGACCAGGTACTTCATGGACAATAACCTGATGATTCACACAAACACACACACACAGGTACACCGAAGCACAAACATCAAACCAATAACAAGAACACAGATATAGAAAAAGTTGCAAATGGCATAAAACACATCACAATGACAAGAAGGCTTCAGTTTTGCCTGAGCAACAGAACAAGCAGCTTCTTATCTCACAAACACCTGCTTCCTGTTACAAAACGAGGAGATTCAAATCTCCACAGAGGTGTTTATCTTTGTGACAATGAGAGTGTTATTCACTATTAAAGACTTGGGTTCAATCCTGACAAAGCAAGGAATCCAACATGAAGCCAGACTTGTTGGCACACAAACAAGGAGGAGGAGCTGGACTCGATATCAAAGCAAACTCGTAGGTCTCCTGCTCTGCTTTTTTTACTCCAGCTTCAGGTGCATTTCATTTACCTCATACATCTCCCTCCACTGCGGGTTCAGGTTGCTGTCCACATGGTGAGAGGTAAAGATCTGTGTTCCTACGCGCAGCACAGCATATGGGTCAGACTTCCCATCAATCAGCCCCTTGATGACAGTATCCTTGGCTGCAAGGTCTTCAGCTTCCAGCAGATGGATACGAACAACTCCCTAAAATAGGAGCAAGTTGGCAAAATAAAGGCAGTGGAGGTTTCTGGAGGAAGAAACTACAGTTTAATGAGAGATTGTTACCCTTGGCAGCGGGGAGCGAAGCTGCGCCACATGCAGATCTGCCACCAAGGGAACGGTCAGACGGTTAGGGAGCACCAGGTGGGAAGCTATTGCATCCATTATCATCGTGTCTGACATGGCACTGCAAATGAAAGCAAACATGAAGACAGACAGGGGATGTAGAACAGCTGCTAAAAACAGCTCACTAAGTCAACAACATTCAGAGAAGGCCAAAGCCTTTACAGGGCCCTGGGCAGAGTCCTAACCGGTGGCCCGGCTCCAGCTGAGCCCTCGAATAGCCACAGCACTGTTTACTGGGCTTTTAAAACTATCTATTCTAGATCCCGTTTGATTCTGCAATTAACCAATGTTTTTTTTTTTGGTTTTTAAGAGGGTCAACCCTGAATCAAAGTGACAATAGGAGAAAACTTCAAATCTAAATCTATAATTTTATATTATACATTACAGAAAAAAGCATTTGGTATAACATGTTTATTTAATTTGAAAATTCAATAAAGCTCTTTTGAAATCAGAATGTGATGTAAGGTAAAAAATAATTATATTTCTATTTGTTTTTTAAATAAAAGTTAATTTTAAAAATCAGATGCTATTTTCTCAAGTAGTTTAAATGGTTCATAGTAAATTTTCCTGCAGATAAACATCAAATATTTTTTAGATTTCTGGAAACGCAGATAACCAGCATCAACATCTGCTGATGCCTGCAGCGTCAAGGGAGAAATGGTGCTTATCTCCAAAAGTAAGAGGGATTATCAATAATGTTTGTTTATTATTAGCTAAAAAATGGATACCAAGATTTAGTAGCAGTGTGGCACATAGACTTGGCCCTTATCTGGCGTACAGGAACAGACTTTTTTGGTTCAGTTTTCAGAGAGCAGCACTGATCATAGTTTTGGTAGGTTATCTGTATCAGCTATGACAGCTCCCATACAGTGGAAAAGAATATTTAAAAAAAAATGTATAACATTTTATGTTGTAAATGTTTAATAATAATCAAGCTTTGGCTTTTGGCTAAAGCTATTATAACTTAATCCTACAGCAAAAAAACTGCAGAGGTAATGTAAAACTTAATGTATACTAATAGGCAAAGGTATTTTGATCACCTTTTTCGCTCATTTGTTGAGCAACATTCAGCATCTTTTTTCTCTTTCCTTGTTTTTCCATTTATTATTTTTTTATGGATTTTTGCTGTTGGTTAACTGCACGGTTGAACCTAAAATTAAGGTCAGATACGAAATGATTAAAAGTGAAAAAAAACGACAATATGATGAGCACCAAATCATTCAGTTAAGTTTAAAAGAAAAGTAGAGGCAGCCTTAAAGTGTAGGAGTTGTGATGCATTTGATAGAGAGCAACAAAAGAATCTATATAAGATATAGCTGTCCAAATTCAAATACATGAATATAATGTTTTTCATAGATCAAGCTATAATAAACGATTTTGTTTGGTCCAAAGAACTCTTGTTATTTAATGGCTCCAGCTTCTAGTTTTCAAATTTTAGATATTTAGAATTTATTTTTTTTTATTCATATTTTTTATATATTTAATAATTTAGTTTATTGTATGTCTGGCTCTGCTGGAGGTTTCTTCCTGTTAAAAGGGAGTTTTTCCTCTCCACTGTCGCTACAAGCATGCTTAGTGTGAGGGATTGTATTTGAGTC